GCCCCGGGCGGGCAGGGGAGGGCCAGAGGAAGGGGACACGCAGCTCTTCCCTCCCCCTTCGGTCCACCACACCCCCACATCACCACAACCAGACACAACACACATACACACACACACACTCCTGCGGAGACGAAGCTGGTTCTCCCCAAGCCACTTCCTGAATCCCTGCCTGACCTGGCTCCGGGGGAGGGAGCTAGGAGTCCAGGAAGAAAACAGACTCCCCAGGCTCCCCGCAAGGCTTGGGGGGGGGATGCAACTCACCGGGACCAAGAGATTGGGTGCGGCGGCGAGCGACAGCGCAGGGCTGAGGTTTATAACGCCGGGGGGGAGGAGGCGAGAGCCACTCCCCAACCGACTGGGTCAAGTTTCCGAGGACCGCCCAATCACGCCTCCCGCCCCCGTGCACTCGGGCCCGGGGCCCGGCTCGCCCCCAGCCCCACCTGCCCCCGCTGGGGGGCGCTGCCCGGAGCTGCCTGGATGGTCCCGGCTTAGCCGGGGTCTTAACGAGGCTTTTCCTTCCCGGGGCTGGGGGCGCTGCACCACACCCCAGTGTCTATCCCGCAGTGTGTACGTCGGGTGGGGGAGGGTAGAGGAGGTGACTGCCGATGGGGCGCCCAGCACGGGAACCCCACCGAGGACCCTGCAGCCCAAGGCCTCCGTCGGGGCAGCCCAGGCTGAGACGCCCACGAACAGACGGAGTCCAGGCTGAGATAGCCCCCGTTGGGGTGTCCTCAGATTGAAAGCTCTCAGCGGGGTCTCTGCTGAAACCCCTCAAAGAGGCTCCCAAGACTGAACTGCTTATTAAGGGGTCCGCTCAGGGAGACTCCGGTGGAGGCGCCTAGGCTGAGACCCCCTCGGCAGAATCTGCCCTCCGCCGGTCCCAGCAGCCTCAGGAGCTGCACAGCTGAGCTGGCGCTGAAACAGGGCAGTGGTCCCGCTGCAGGTCTTTTCCCGCCTGCTTCCTCCTGTGCCCAGCAAGAGAGCAGAGAGGGGGGTGGCGGCAGCCGCCGCAGGGAAGAGACACAGGGCAGCCTGTTCTAGCCCGGGAGACAGAGGGCGCCTGTGTCCGTTCCTGGCCCCTTGCCCCCGAGGTGTCTGTCCGTGAAGGGGTGGAGCCGGCGGGCAGGGTGGGCGGAGGAAGGCCGGCTGAAGACAGGTCCCGCACAGTTCGGAAGCCACATTTGCAGCCTTGGCCCTCTGGCTGGAACCTGCTCCCACTTCAGGCTGACTGTGAGTATCCCGCCCCACCGCGGGCTGGGTTTCTGGCCTGGCCCACCTGGGGGCAGGGGGCTTCAGAGGGGCTCCAAGAGCCCATGGCCTATGGCACTGTGGTGCACTGTGGGTCTGGGAGAGGTTGGTCAGGGTTTGGGATCTGGGGGAGATGAGGTTTGGGAGGTGGTGGGGGCTGGGAGCCCAATGAGTGAGGAAGCCAAGGGGGGACTGTGCCACTGAGATTCCAGGGCCCCGCCTCCCACAGCCCTTGGGCCCCCTTCCAAGGCTCCCTCAGTCCCCCATGGGGAGGGGCCTCAGCAGGGGGTCTTGCTCCCCAGGGCTTAGAAGAGGAAAGCAGAACAGGTGTGTCGCTGCCTCCCTTCCAGCCAGCTCAGCTTCTGCCACCCCCACCGACCTTGCCAGCTCAAAGCCCAGGGAAGTCTGGAGGTGGCAGAGCACAGCCCATGTGACATCAGGAAGAGAGGTCCTCGGGTACCATGACCCCCCCTCCCTTCCCTTTCTCAGCCTCTTTCCCCCCATTTCTTTCCTCTCAAGTTTTCCCATCTGCCCTGACCTGAGGCCCTCTCAGAACCACCCCCACATAAAATCCTAGGCCCCTCCTGGATGGCGCTGGTAACTGAGCCAGCGGCCTCCCTCCCTGGGGCACCCTTTTATCCCCTCCATCAGCCCCGGCTTGGGTTCCATCTCCCCTGTGTCTCTGTGACAACCACTTCTCATGTCCAGAGTTCAGGTGACACTCACAAGGGCCCCATTGAGGAACTGGGGTGTCATCTGATCAGGGCCCATTCATGGTCCAGTCCCCCAGGACCAGGGAAGGATGGCGACATTTGAGCTGAGACATCTGAGCTGCCCCTTGGGCCACCTGGCTTGGCACCCTCCTCTCCCCAACAGACCCCTCCACTCTCCTGCTCTCCCCCAGGCCTCCTGAACTCAAAAGACCTCATGCACTCAGCCCGTTCCCTCTCCCAACATACTAGTGCCAAGCCCCTGCCCCACTGCCCCCCATCAGTCAGGCTGGCCTCCAGGTCTCCTCTTCCCCTCCCTGGGAGCCCTGGAGCCTGGGCAAAGGCCTGCACATTCCTCCTTCCCTTCCCATCCCATCGCCCATCCCCGAGGTGGGATGGTTTTACAGAGAAGTCAGAGGAAACAGCCTGGAGATCGTGGGAAGTGTGCCCCAGAGAAGCCCCAAGGACTCTGTTCAGGAGAATGAGCTGAAGGACCAAAGGGGGCCCAGCTGCTGACAGGTGGCTGGGAAGCAGTGAGACTCCCTGCCCAAGAGGCCTGGGGGCCCCCGAGCCGGCTGCCACTCCTGCCATCAGGTACCACCCAAGTACCAAAGAGACTACCAAACACTAAGGGTGGTGGCAGAGTAGGCTGTAGAGGAGACCCCAGCCCACCACCCCCCACAGAAGAGCTTAGCTGCACTCAGCAGGCAAGGTCCAGGGTAAAAATAGAAAACGGAGCCAGAGGAAGCCAGACTGGTCCTGTGACCATCCTGCCTGCCCCACCCTCAGCAGCCTCTGTCCAGGCAGCCAGGAGCCATTGCGAGTGTCCACTGCAGGCCTCTGGAGCCCACCAGCGCCAGCGGCTGTGTCTCTATGCCCCAACCTGGCTCTCTGGCTCGGCTACAGAGCACAGGTCTGATAATTTAGGTGTCAGGGTCTCCCCGCAAGGTACAAGTTCAGAGAAAGATAAGAGGCAACAGGACTCCAATCTCACAGCTGTTCTGAGCTGTGGGACCAAGGCCAGGCCTGAAGGCTTCCCTCACCCAAACCCCAGACACCCTAGACCTGGTCCCCAGCTCACTGCCTCGCTCTGGGGGGCCTGGGGGGTAGGTGCACTGCCACAATGGGCTCTGAGCTGGAGACGGCAATGGAGACCCTCATCAATGTGTTCCACGCCCACTCGGGCAAGGAGGGGGACAAGTACAAGCTGAGCAAGAAAGAACTGAAGGAGCTGCTGCAGACGGAGCTCTCCGGCTTCCTGGACGTGAGCATGGAGTGGGCGTCCGGGGCGGGGTGGGCGAGGGGTGAAGGGAGTGGGCACCTCCCTGTGGTCTCTCTCTCCACCCCGCCTCACCTCAGCCCAGCCATCTCTCTCCTCTCTCGTGCTTCTCTTCTGGGTTTTCCCAGGCTCCCCCACGCCCGGGTGAAGTCAAAACGCCTGGTTTATAGATCACCTGTTAAGTGCTAAGCCCTACATAGATTCATCGGTAATAAGGCTTCCGCAGTCTGGAAGGGAAAGACTGACACACCATTAACTCTGCCAGGTTAAGGATGCATTCTGTGGGCAGCAGGAGCCCACCAGTGTTTGAAGGGTTTGGAGAAGGGCAGCCGAGGAGACCCAGTTAGCCGTAGCTCTCCCGCTTGCTCATCTCCACCCCGTTCTTCTCCGTCACCACCCTCTGGCCCTGGACTCGGTGCTGGACACCTCTCCCGCTCTCTCCCCCCTCCACAGGCCCAGAAGGATGCAGATGCCGTGGACAAGGTGATGAAGGAACTGGACGAGGACGGAGACGGGGAGGTGGACTTCCAGGAGTACGTGGTGCTGGTGGCTGCTCTCACAGTGGCCTGTAACAACTTCTTCTGGGAGAACAGTTGAGCAGACAGCCCCAGAGGGCAGCGCCCTACCGCTCCGTCCCCCCAGACCTGCCCCTACACCCGGCTACCACCTCACACTCCCACACACACCCAGGGCGCCAAGCAGCAGGCCCGCCCTGCAGCTCATCTCTCATTAAAGGCTCCTCTATTGCCAGCCGTCTGGTGTCTGTCTCCTGTGGGTCCGGAAGGGCAGCCGTGAGGGGTTTCGCTCCACTTATTTTGGAGGGAGGTCACGTGCATTCCATCTGCCTTAATGCTCAGTGGGGTTCCAGGTTCCAGCTGGAAGGGGAGACGTCTGCTTCCCAGCTGTAAAAACAGAAAAATCTCCTTTCAATCCTCAGCAGATATTTACGGGGGTCCTACCTTGTGCAGGAACTGGGGATACAGCAGTGAGCAAAATAAACACCATGGTCACCCTCACTGGGTGAAGTCCAGCAAGGAGAGAGGCCCACTAAAAATGCACACATACAACTCAGTGCCCAGAGCGAGGGTAGAGGAAGCCCCCACTGTGTGCTTTCTCTCTTTCCTCCAACGTTTGAGGACGTGATTGTGTGGCCATAAGGAAAATCCTTTCATAGGTCTGCACTAAATTCCCAGGGAGGGGAGGGGAAGGGGGATCCGGGACCTGATCAGAGGAGAGTTGAAAAACAGCCAAGTCAGGGAAGAGGAAAACATGGACGGGCAATGGAGGCTGCGGCGGATGGCAGGAGGTGTGCCCCCAGCACTGGCTTGCCCTGGCCTTTGCAGCACTTCACGACCCAAACAGCGAACGGGGCGCGGGGGAAAGCCACCAGTGCCAATCACCCGGCTCTGGCATTGCCAGAGACCAAAGCAGGTTCCGCTTTAAGATTTGTAAACATGATGCCTTAGCCAAGGGCGTGGGGAGAAAGGCCCGAAGGAACACGAACTCTTTCCTAACGGGACTAAAACCTCTCTTGGGAGCAGGGCCGCTGACAACTCCAGGAGGTAGCAGTTAATACCCGCTAGAATAGCGAAGCCACTAGCCACGCCCCGGGGGCGGAGCCATCTGTGTAACTCTAAAGCCCCTCCTTCCCACCCAGGGCTCCGCCCCCTAGCTCTGCGCAGGGCGTGACAAATCCCCGCCCCCTACTAGTGCGCGGATCCAACGTCTGACGCAATTGCGTCGGCGCCATTTTAGCCGGTCCCATGCCGCACTGGGCGTGGCGGCCATTTTGTTTTGGAGAGCGAGCGGGAGTTGGCGGCGGCAGCTGTGGTGGCACAGACTGAAGGCAGGGAAGGGCAGGCCGGGCGATCAGGCGGGTCGGCCAACGACACAGCCAGCCAACAGCCACGGACTAGCCTCGCAGTCTACCACTTAAGCATCTGACCCAACCGCCCATCTAATTAACCGGAGCCCCTCCACCGTCAATTACTGAGGTTCGGCCGGTCCCCGGCCCGCCCTGCCGCAGCCGTGCTGGCAGCCCCGGGAGGAGCACTGGCGTCCGTTTCCTTCGGTGCGTCTCTGTGGTGAGAGAAGGGGAGCGGAAGGAGCCGGCGGACGCGCATGGGGGGCGGTGGGCTGCGGGGACCGCGGGGGAGGGGGCGGGGCCGCGGAGGGGGGAGGGGCTGCGCCGGCCGCGACCCCGCGGCGGGGTTCACGGAGGCTGTCGTTGGGTACCGAGGAAAAGAAAGATCGTTGGACGAGTTGAGCAAAGTTGGCGGTCTTGACAGGGCTTTGAAGACTAGTGTTGGAAACAGTGGCGTGCTTAGGGTTAAGTTCTGTAGAGGGCTCCCTGGGAGCCAGCTCCCAGATGAATGCCCGTTTAGGGAACCTTTCCTGTTCCTTTCTCCAGATCCTTAGTCCGTTGTTAAGTTCTGACTTGGGAATAGGAAACCGATTTTGAGACTAGGCATGCCTGTATTTTCTTTCTAAACCGGCAGCTGTCAACCTCAGCTACTCATTAGAAGCACCTGGGTAGCTACCCCTCCCCCCACGCCCCTATTGATGAGCCCCAGACCTCCACCATCAGAGATTGCGGTTTGATCGGTCTGAGCCCAGGCATCTGTTTCTTGAAAGCCCCCTGTGGAAAAACAGGCTGAAAAGGACGAGTCTGGATCGAAAGCCAGACTCTCTTGCACCTTCTTGAGCTGTTTCTGCCATTTTGGACCATTTGGCAGATATTACATGCCTTTTGGCCTTGAAATTGAATAATTTCTCATGTAAACTTGAAGTGAGCTTCGATTTGAGGGTGCTTTTTAAAATTTTATAGAAAATTGAATTGAAAGACATTTTGGTGCAAAATAATTTTTGCATTCTATGCAGTCTTTTGTAGTATACGTTTCTATAAACTTTTTTTTTAAGCATTTGTGTATATGAAAGAGAGATCTTCCATCTGCTGGTTTACTCTCCAGATGGCCACAAAGGCCAGGTCTGGGCCAGGCTGAAGCCATTAACCAGGATCTCCATCCGGTTTTCCAACGGGTGGCAGGGATCAGATACTTCAGCCATCACCTGCCGCCTCCCAGGCCTGCAGGGAGCTATTCTGGAGGTGGAGTAGCTGAACCACAATGCCTGCCCCTCCATAAACTTTTTCAGGATAGATCCCTTACATGCATAGATTCTAAAAAATTTCTTACCAAAGCAAAGTTACCTTTTAATTCCGTTTCCCATGAACTTTGAAGTACCCTCCTGTGTTCCTCAGGAGTCAGTGGTAAGGCTTTTTCGGTGGTTTGGGCCTTGTTCTGTATAAGGTGGCTGTTATTCTGACCTGCTCATTCTGCTGTTGTCCTTTGTAGATTCTCGGGATCTGAAGATGGCTGCTCAGTCAGCGCCGAAAGTTGTGCTAAAAAGCACCACCAAGATGTCTCTGAATGAGCGGTGAGGCAGCCAACAACAACTTCAGCTCCTTCCTAAGAAAACATTACTTAAATTGGCCCTGGGGTCCAATGCACAAAACAGTTGTAAGCTAAATATCAACAGAAGGCTACAGACCTCTGTTCTTAGTTACATCTAATGTGGTGCACAAAACAAATTGGGCGGTTGTTTCAAAACCCCTTATCAGTAGATTTTTATGTTAAGCTGTCTGAAATATTTATCCAGTGGGATGTATTTTAAAAAGACTCCTCACACCCTCCCTTTTCTTCAAGTTTTTTTGTTTTTGTTTTTGTTTTTGAACACGTTGATACAGGGGTTGTGCAGCATGGGAGCATGGGACCCTGGCTGCAGTAGGCTTGCTGCCTAGTCCAAGGCCAGCAGTGTTGCATCTGGCCTGTAAGAGGCAGGTAGCAAGCTGTGACTATGTCCAAAGGCCCTCGAATGTCATTCTTGGGCCTTGTAAGAGGCACTTGCTTTGCTCCATTTCACTTTTCTTTCCATTCTGCTTTTAGTTTGTTTTTGCTTTGGATTCTTTTACAGTTAAGTGTTCTTCTCTTCCATTCCATTAAACTTAACCATGACAAGAACAAAAAAGGAGTGTCTTCATGGGCCCTTAAATGATTGAATTAATCATTTCCAAAGATAACTGCTTGGAGACAGAAAAAGTGATCATTTGACACTAAGAAAAGTTAAGGTATTTAAGGCAGTTTCTATCTCTGAGAACTTTGCTCACTGAGTTACCTTTGAGCAGTGATTTTATTAAACCAGTGTTGGACCACTAAAAGGTTACAATGTCTCCTTTTGCCTTTTCTGGAGCCTATGTACTTCTCTCTTCAGATACACTAGTCCTCCATATCCACATGTTACTGAGTGACAAATATATTTAAAAATTGATGGCATTCCTATAACTTCTATGGCTATGGTGTTGTCATGGGTTTTGAAGGTGTTCTGGTCTCATATTTCTTTTCAAAAACCTCCAAGGTTTAAGCTTTCTTTGTTTGTCTTTGAAATTACATCTTCTGTCTCTTGTCATATCTGCTTATTGCGTGTTTTTCATACCTTCCACTTCTCTGAGAGCCATTACCTGAGCCCTTGTTATCACTTTGGATTGAATGTGCTGCACTTAGCTGCATTTCTGAGTTTCTGATTCTTGCAAGTTTGTCGAAACAGAGGAGTCTTTAACCCACTTCAGCTTTGATCTAAGTGTGCCACTTTACTTAAAAGTTCGTGGGATCTGGAGCTCCTGGTCTAGCAAGCCATGAAAATGCCAATAAATGTTTTGTAATAAAGCTTTTATTTAAACATCCATTTTGTTCGACCTTGAAGCTTTACTAATATGCTGAAGAACAAACAGCCGATGCCAGTGAATATTCGGGCTTCGATGCAGCAACAACAGCAGCTAGCCAGTGCCAGAAACAGAAGACTGGCCCAGCAGATGGAGAATAGACCCTCTGTCCAGGCAGCATTAAAACTTAAGCAGGTGAGAGAATGGGTCTTGATGCTCCAGAAGCAGCTGTGATCTAAGGCAGGCAGCCCACTGAGGCTGTCAGAACCTGATGGATGATTCCAAGGTGACTCAGGGCAAAAGCTGGAACTTCTCTGAAAGAGAAGTGCAGAGAATTCCAGCTCTGGCAGGTACTGATAAGTAACTTTTTCTTTATTGTCTTCTCTTCTAGGGAGTTTGCCATCTGTTTGACCCATTTGTGTTATCAATGACTATTAATTGCTTTTGTTTCTGGTCCTTTAGCCTTAAAGTAGATGAAAGGCCTTTTCCATGAAGAAAGTTTGTTTCTGTTTCGGATCATCTTTAAAACATCCTTTACTTACTGCTAAATGATAGATAAACTAGGGAAATAATTTTATTCTTTCGCCCCTCACACAGGAAATCTAAATGGCCCTAGTCAAAGGTAAAAGATACAGCAGAGTGACCCTCATGTCCACAGCACCTAAAATTATAAACAGTAAAGTAGAGCTAGAACACTGAGTAACTAAGAGTCAGTGGATTCTTTTTCAAATTTCCAGTAAATTGGGGGGCGGGGAGCTTAAAAACATGAGGAATAAACTTTAAATGGGGGGAAAAGAAAAATGTCGAGTAGGGATAATAGTTTTCAGATCTGAAATAAAACCTACTCTTTATTATTCATAGACTGTATGTGCAAGTCCGGACAGTGGCTGTGGAAGGATATGTCCAAGCTGTGGCTGGGCGTCTGGAGGGCGGTGCCATGCAACTGTAAGGACTTTAACTGGTAGCGCTGCATGGCTGTGCATAAATTCAGCAGTTAAATATAACTCCCTCCCACCCCCACCCTGAACCATTGGGCTCACTGACCAAAAATAAACAAGGCTTTCTGCTTCAGCTACCATAAGCCTTGGAAGTGATCCGATCTGTCCCTGGCTCAGGAAAGCAACAAAAGGCACCACCATTTTCCAAGAGTACATAAGAATTGCCGAAGAAAGCCTCTGACAGATCATTCCAAAGGACCTTTCAACAAGAAATTTTAGCTACAGGTGTGCAGAAGGTAGCTTCTAGTGTGGTGCTGTCCAGTATGGTGGCCACTAGCTACGTGTGGCTATTAAACTAAATGTGACTAGTACAAATGAGCTTAACTTTTCTTATTTATATTTAATTTAGATAGCCAGTGTGGCTAGTGGCTACCTTATAGCACAACTTTGTAAAAACTGGATGGTATAGTTGACATCTGTAAGTTCCCATCAGTGTTAGAAATCAGTGTTGGCGATAACTAAAGGTTGAAATGGGAGAACAGCTCAGCACTGAAAGCTTGGGAGAGTGGATATCCGCAGGTTAGCTGACTCATTAGGAAGAACTGGTGGGCCGGCGCCGCAGCTCACTAGGTAATCCTCCGCCTTGCGGCGCCGGCACCCCAGGTTCTAGTCCCGGTTGGGGCGCCGGATTCTGTCCCGGTTGCCCCTCTTCCAGGCCAGCTCTCTGCTGTGGCCAGGGAGTGCAGTGGAGGATGGCCCAAGTACTTGGGCCCTGCACCCCATGGGAGACCAGGAGAAGCACCTGGCTCCTACCATTAGATCAGTGCGGTGCGCCAGCCGCAGCGGCCATTGGAGGATGAACCAACAGCAAAGGAAGACCTTTCTCTCTGTCTCTCTCTCACTGTCCACTCTGCCTGTCAAAAAAAAAAAAAAAAAAAAAGGAAGAACTGGTAGAACGTAGTCCTAACCTCATAATTCTGTGTGCTGATCAGGGGAGTGAGAGGACAGGCCCTTAATGGTTGGTTGCACCTGTGTAGAGCCTTCCCTGACTAGAAGCAGTTTCTATCTTGTACTAGAAGACTAATCAATAATGCCTCACAACATAGATTTGAGGGACATGGTTGCAAAAAAAAAGTCATTGGTGGTATCTTGGTACAACTGATTTTTCATACTTAGTGACTGATGGCTTCATAGAAAAACAGGTTTGCTAGGGCTCAGGCCTTGGTTATGTTCAAGGCTTTCTAGTTCTCCCTTTTTTTATAGGAATTCTCTCAGATTGATCTTCATGGTTTCATTCTGAGGAATATATTATTGAAAATCTCTGTTTCTGTCCTTGTCTTTCATGTGGCCCTGAATTTTGTGATTAAAGCTCACCTGCCTTAATTCTTACCTAGTTTGGCTGGCTCTCGGGAGATGTATTATGAGTTATATGTTTATTTTTAATTAAAGGATATTATATTGGATTAAGAGAGCTATTTACAAGAGTAGACTTGGAATTATGAAATTTTAAGAAATGAAAGGAAGTTTGACTTTTTTGTGTTTATTTGCATCTTAAGGTAAAAAGTGGATCGTCTGGAGATAGATACTCAGAGGAAAAAATGGAGCACACTGGCCTCTTTGAGAGATCAATCTTGTTCTTAAGTCACAAGAACTCAAATGAACTTGTAATTTAAATTTTGCCCAGAGTGTGATCAACTTCTATGGTGTTTGAGTAAGCCTTTGAAGACAGTGGTAGAGCTTGGGCAGGTATGAATCAAGTCATGTCATTGTCAACCTGTGGTTCAAAAACAGAATCCAGGACTGAACTGTGTAAAATATTCTTATTACAACTTAAGTTCCTACTGGCAGTATATGACTTCTGTGGCCAAACTAGCGAGGTAATTTATAGTGATGCCAGTTTCATGGGACCATACACAAGCATCTGAGAGTTCTGCTCTGGATCACAGTTCCACTTCTATCCCGTGTGCTGAGGCAAAGGTTTGCTTCTGGTCTGGGATCTTTATGACACCCCCAGCAGGTTTATATCCCTCCACACCAAACACCTCACTTGCTTCTTTTTCTCTGCACTTTGAATTGCCAAATCCCACTGGATTGCTTTTTTGATCTCAATCCCTTAACACCTTTTCTTCCAGAAGAGCTTAAAGCAGCGCCTGGGTAAGAGTAACATCCAGGCACGGTTAGGCCGACCCATAGGGGCCCTGGCCAGGGGAGCAATCGGAGGACGAGGCCTGCCCATAATTCAGAGAGGCTTGCCCAGAGGAGGACTACGTGGGGGACGTGCCACCAGAACCCTACTTAGGGGCGGGATGTCGCTCCGAGGTCAGTACCATGTGCCTGATAATTGTCAGGCTATACTCCTTTCCCTTTTTTCTTGGGCTGCTTATGGACCCATTTGTTTAACATCTTTTGAGCCTGGATTTTGTATTAATATAATTAATAACTTTTGAAATCACATATTTTTAATAGTGCTGCATGTCTTTTATCGATACCATTCCTTTTCTGATAATGTGCAATGGTGAGAGGCTATGACCTGCGTAACAACAGGTAATTCATGTCATCTCCATTCCATTTTAAAACACCGTGCTGCTGCTTGAATCAAAAAGCACATTGATGTTCTAGAAATAAGTCAAATGTAAGAACTTTGTTGGTCTTTTGACCTATATCTTAACCAACCATCTCTGCTCCTGGTGCTGGTGAAAAACTACTGTATCTGGAAGAGAGGACAAGTTGACCCATAGCATTTAACTTGTATCTTATGTTTTGGGCAGTATTATACTGCCATGTATAGTTTTTCATTCCTACAAGAATGTATTAAGAGCAGGAACCGTTTATTTTAAATCTATAATGCTAGGCATCTATCTGATTATTCAGTAAATATGTATTAAATGTATGTACTTACTAACTCCCAACTTCTTCCAAAAATGGATTTGTGGTCAGACTTGTTGAATTGATTAAAGAGCAGCTTTTTAATCTGCTCACATTGTGTGTAGTTTGCCCCACCCAACCTAAAAATTAACTCAATTACTCATTTAACCCTCACTGCCTTCCTTTGGTCAGAATCTACTTTGTCTCTCTTGGATTTACCTGCATATACATTGTGTGCCTCCTCTCCAAGGTCAAAACCTGCTCCGAGGTGGACGAGCCGTAGCTCCCCGAATGGGCTTAAGAAGAGGTGGTGTTCGAGGTCGTGGAGGTCCTGGGAGAGGGGGCCTAGGGCGTGGAGCTATGGGTCGTGGCGGAATCGGTGGTAGAGGTTAGTCAGCTACCAACTTCAGAGAGTAGCTCCCTTTTATTTTCCTCCCTTAAAAACTCAGAGCCACCTTTCTGCACAGCTTCAAGTCGTAGACAGGCTTGTATGTTTGTCTTGTTTTGTTTTTTGAAACTGGCTTATTTTCCAAATTCACATGCTGGTAGTGCAAAAATCTGTCATTTTTCCAAGAACCAGTCAGGTGTGTATTAGCCAGATTATATGTAGTCTTCCAGACTCTTGCAGATGTAAATTTTATTATAAAAATGACTAAATAGTTTGGGATCTTTTCTGTCTCTGCTGAATCATCACCACACACACACACCTCTCATAGCTCAAAACACCAGCTTGAGTCAGATAAGAATAGAGAAGAGGGAGATGTGCAAATATGAAGGCAGAGTGAGGTAGACTTGGAGCCGGGCAATGTCTCTGAAGCCAAGTTCAGCATGCCTGTGGGGAACCCTAGATGCCTCTTTCTGATCAAGGTGGACAGTAAGATGATACTCTTGTCAGTGAACTCACTGGCTCTTGATGATTATACCTTTGAGAAACTTGGTGATACTTGTTTTGTGACCTCATGACCCAGATTGGAAAAGCTTAGTGGTGGTGATGGTGTTACTGCCAAATCTCATGGGAGCTTTCTGACTTAGCTTAATGAAACACTCCCAACAACACCTGTAGGGGAAGGGGAGACCTGTTCTTATGGTCCCTTGTTTATATTCCTTTGGTCCTTTTAAAGTGTGTGGTGGGTCTTCCATAATTTATGACCATGAAGCTGCCAAGGAATATTAACTGTAGGAAATCTGATAACCAAGGGCTTGTTTGCTTTCCCATTATGTGCTACTTGGCTTATTGAGTGAATTGCAAAGGAGTTTGAGTTTCGGGATGAAATACCATGTTTCTAGAATTATCTTGATTTGGTTTCTGAGAGACATCACAGGGGTGGCAGAGACTAAAGTAGCTTTTCAAAAAAGCGAGTGTGCTTTGTTAAGTGAATTGAAACCACCTCTCAAATAGCCACATTGTCCTAAGGTGACTAGAATCAGAGGTAGACGGGGCTAGGACCATTCAAAATGTTTTTTTCCATCTTCTCACATTATTCCTGTGTCAAAATAACTCCTCAGTCTCCTGACACATGGGGAAGTCAGCTTGTTAGACCTCACTAAGTTTAAAGAGAGATGAGATCATTTTCCTGAAGGGTCTCCAGTAAAGCTTCATTTGGAAACTATCTGCCTTCACACCCTTGATTCTCTGTGCCCTTTCACTTTCTTTCTGTCTCGCTATATGGGGTTATCTCTAATGGATTTCAGTAATGAACTGATAGTGAGGTCTCAAACTTTAGGTTATTCTTTGTCTTAGGAAAGATTAATTTTTTTAATTATTATAATTGGCAGCTATTTTCCCTTTGATAGGATAATATTTTAAGTAGCATTTAGAGATGAGCATGTAATAAGGAATTCATTATGTGTGCTTTCCATGTGTTGCTTTCTATCCAGTGTGTGTGTGTTTCCAGATTTCTCCTTTACCCTGCCCTTCAGCTTTTCTCAGCTAGGCTCCACTACTCTTAGGGGCATTTACTATAGCATTCATTAAGCCTACTTGTAACTCTTGTTTTTGTTTTTGTTTTTTTCCTCGGGCCAGGTCGGGGTATGATAGGTCGGGGAAGAGGGGGCTTTGGAGGCCGAGGCCGAGGCCGTGGACGAGGGAGAGGTGCCCTTACTCGCCCCGTATTGACGAAGGAGCAGCTGGACAACCAGTTGGATGCATACATGTCGAAAACTAAAGGACACCTGGATGCCGAGTTGGATGCCTACATGGCGCAGACAGATCCTGAAACCAATGATTGAAGCCTGCCCACCGTTGTGTGAGAGACTCTTACTAAAATCACCACATCTGTAAATAACCTTGAGATAACAGTTGAAAAGAAACCTGATTGATGCTGGAAGGACCTATCATAATAGGCTATGGACTTAACCTACCACCAGTTGTGCATTTAGTGTGTTCCTTTGACTTTTTGATACTGTGTTGTATGAAACCCTTTTTCTCTTGATTTGGTTGGGCTTTGCTTTTTTTCTTTGTTGTTGTTTCCTTCGCAGACTTCTCTTTGAACATGAATGTGTTGGCCTTACGGCTAGGATACCCTCTTCCTACCTCTGCCTCCCTTCACCTGCCATATACTCTAATCTTCATTTCCTCGGTTCATCTGTGTTCCCTCACAAAAAAGTCCTAGAAAGAGCCACTGTTCCTCCCTAATGCCTAGGTTTCTGAGATTAAGTTCTGTATAATAACCTCTTAGAAGTGTTCAGAACATCTGGAGCTCAGAAATGTGTTGATGATGCAGTATACAGTGTAGTAAATTGGGAACACTGACATTGCCAAGGGCCAAAAAACAGTTTATAGATGGTAGAAGCTCAAGTTTGATTGAAGTTGCTACCATGTGCAGTAACACGTGTGGTAACTAGGCTTGCTGGGTTGGGTAAGATCCTTTCTACCCACAAATGAGATTTATACACTCTCCTCTTGGCTTTGTATTTCCCAAGGGATTGAGCTGGTTTAACTCCTTCATATAGAAGAAGAAAGCCATTTGGTTTGGCCAGTGCGTCAGAAGGTACGGGGATGGAAGAGCAGTGGCAGACTAATTGCTGGGAGGATCAGAAAATAATACCTGGGCTGAAAAGCAATTAGTCTCGTGTTTATTCCAAACCAGTCTTGGGTTTCTCCACTCACTGATTCTGTCTGAACTCCTCTCATTTCCCTTGAACGTTTAAGTAATTTCAACCATAGTCTGTCAACTGTTCCAGGTTCTGTGAAATCTTGTGTATTTCTGATTCATTATAACAAACTGTTCTCTCAAATCCAGCCAGGATTTTCTCTTATTTGTTGGGCTCCTCAAAATGCTGTGGCTACTTTAATGATGTCTTGGTGTATGTACCCTACCCCTAGTTTCATTGAGAGGCCTTTTTTTCTTGGTTATGTTAGAATTCTAGAGGGAATGTGCCTTTGGGGCAGAAAGTGAAGAATTTGATCTCCTTTGGTTAATCCCTACAGAACATCAGCCCCACAAGTAGACCTTTCAACCCACAAATGCAAGCAAGGGTGGTGGTGGACAGCATTCTGGGTCTTGGACTCTGGCCCTCACTGCCTTTTTACTCTGAGTTGTACAAGCGAAAAGAATAACCTGATCACCTACAACCAAGTCAGTTGCTTTTGGGCTACCTGGCATCTTAAAATCCTGAAAGATATGTAGATTGGGGGATAGGAAGGGAGTTTTGGTCAGGACAACCTAAACTTGAATCCTAGCTGTATGACATGGAGCATCGTGGTGTTCTGTGTGTGAGCAGAGAGCTGGATATTAGTGACTGCAGAGCTGAACCCCAGTACTGAAGCTGCTACTGCTACCACATTCCCCAGAACTGCAACAAGAACAAAATGCTAGGGTCCCTCCCACCTCGTAGGAAGCTGTTGCCTTAGGGAAGGTCTCCATGAGAGGTGGTGACCAGTGGGGCACCAGCAACTCCCTCACTAGCCTTGGGCCCTACAGGCCTACCTGCTGCAGGTCAGTGTTTGGGGGAGGGGGGGGTTGTGACCCACATACTTAGGTCCCTGCCACCCATGGGGGAGATGAACTAGTGAATGAAAGATATCGCAGCTTTTCAGATAACAAGAAATAGGCTTTTTAAAAGGAAACCGAATAAGTACAGGCACAGTGGACTACAAGAATACATGCAGGGAAAGTGTTCAGTGGGTTTCAAATGGTACAGGAGGTAGCCAAGATTGTATAGGGAGCCTGGGGCCCAATGGTCTGGTTAGAAGCTTGGACTTTGGATAGTGGAAGAATACGAAAGTTTTGTTGTTGTTGTTGTTTTTATATTTATACATAGCTTTTGCATATTTTAAAGCTGGATCTCCGGCCGGCGCCACGGCTCACTAGGCTAATCCTCCGCCTTGCGGCGCCAGCACACCGGGTTCTAGTCCCGGTCGGGGCACCGGATTCTGTCCCGGTTGCCCCTCTTCCAGGCCAGCTCTCTGCTGTGGCCAGGGAGTACAGTGGAGGATGGCCCAAATACTTGGGCCCTGCACCCCATGGGAGACCAGGATAAGTACCTGCCTCCTGCCATCGGATCAGCGCAGTGCACTGGCCGCAGCGCACCAGCCACGTCGGCCATTGGAGGGTGAACCAACGGCAAAGGAAGACCTTTCTGTCTCTCTCTCTCTCTCACTGTCCACTCTGCCTGTCCAAAAAAAAAAAAAAAAAAACTGGATCTCCGATCTGCTGTCATTCTCCAAATGTATTGAGCCATCAGCAGTGCCTCCCAGAGTGCATTAACAGGAAGACAGCTGAGACTGGGGCCTTGAGTGCTGTACTGGGTAACCTCCTGGCACTGAAGGGTGCTAAGAGTGCCAGCGTCTCAGCTCCCTGAAAGCTCATCAGGCAGTTCAGCTAATGCCCACCCTCAGCGACTGAGCATCAGTCCCCCACGCCGGCCCAGGGACCAGGGAAGGGTTGGAACCTGGGCAGAGGGCCTGGCCTGCTTTCTGCCTCTTCTGTGGAGTCATCTGTGTACAGCAAACCCCACCTCCCATTGTTTTCCTGGGCTTTGGAGACTTCTGAGGCCCCGCTGTCTCCCTTCTCATGCACCAAAAAACTATCACAACACAATGTTTTGATCCTGGGCCTTTCCCAGACACCACCTTCTAGTGTCTAGTGTTGGCTACCAGGACCATGTAGGGAAAGGAGTGGAGGCTCTTGAACTTGCTTTAGTGGCTCTCCAACGTGTACCACACCCTGGCTGGAAACCCAACTGGGAATGCTGGGTCCCTGAACACACAGTCCAGGGACAAGGAGAAAAGGATGGATGGTCATGAGGGTGGGGACAGCAGTATAGGTATAGGATCCTTAAAGTCTAGGGGCAGGTGTTTGACACAGCAGCTTAAGTCACTACTTGGGACGTCCACTTACCATATTGGAGTGCCTGGTTCAAGTTCTGGCTCTCCAGCTTCCTGCTAATGTGCACCCTGGGAGGTAGTAAGTGATGGCTCAAGTGTTTGGGCCCCCTGTCACCCACGAGGGAGACCTAGATGGAGCTCCTGGCTTTGGCCTGGCCCAGCCCAGGCCATTGCAGACATTTGGAGATTAAACCATTCAAAGGAAGATCTCTATTTCTGCCTTCCAGTAAAACGAAATTCTTCCAAATTAAAAAGAGGGCCTAGGAGGGCAGAGCCAGAGCTTCCAGGAGATGGGGACAGACCTGACGTCTGTAACAAAGACTCGCAGGCACTGGAATTCCAACAGCACCCGAAGGAAACCAGCTGCTCCAGGGCTATGGCCGGGGTGGGGGTTGGCAATGTGGGCACAGCCAGGTCAGCAGGTGTCCTGACCACCAGCCTCTCAGGTGTTTGCCTGTTCCCGTCTGCTAGTGGCAAACAGCTGGAGGAGGTCACAGCTCAAGCATAGTGGCCGTGGTGGGCAGAATTCCCAGGTCTCACTGGGGGGCATTACCCCTCCTTGGGTGAGTGGAAAGGGAATCAGTGGGCTGAGACTGCTGGAGGAATATGGAGGCAGGTAGCCCATAGACTAGGAGTAATGCAGAAAGTACAAGGGAGTTTTCCCAATGGAGATACAGGAAGGAGTAAGAATATTAATCACATTGGAAGTGGCTTAGGCGGAGGGTCTGGCCTAGAGATTTTTGAGTTGAAGTCAAGGGGAATGAAATATTGTGAGATGGTGAACTGAGGCCCAAACTGGAGTGCAGATGGTGCTAGACTTACGATAGTGTTACACCCTCATAAATCCATTATAAACTGAAAATAACACTCTTTAAAATGTTTATGGGGCTGGCGCTGTGGTGTAGTATGTTAAGCCTCTGCCTGCAGCACCGACATCCCATATGGGCGTCAGTTTACCTGGTATCCCAGGTGTTCTGTTTTTTCTGTTTTCTAAGTCTGGCAACCTTACTTCGAAGAGGCATGTGAGAGGACTGCGGCCCAACTCGGGGACTTGTACAGACACTGGGCGCTCTACCTCCCTCCAAGGCCCTTTGCTGACCCAAGCAGCTGCTCTGCTCCCTTCCCAGGCGAGCCCTGGAGGACAGAGGCCGTCACCCGCCCCCTCCCCTAGGCTGTCTTCCCAAGGCCTACTGGGAGGCGAGCCGGGGCTGCCCCAGCTACTCCCTGCACTGTGCGTCCTCCCGGAGGAAGTTGCCTCGAATCACCAGAGGAAACAACACAACAAAAAGTGTGCAAAGCATTAAAGTGACCACAGCTGGGGTCTCAGGTTTGCAGCTGCTGACCGCCATTCTCTCCCAGAAATCCTCATGCCCTTCTTAATTCCTGAAGACGAGGCTCAAAACTGAATATTCTGGGGCTGGCGCTGTGGCACAGTAGCTTAATCCTCTGCCTGCAGCGCCAGCATCCCATATGGGTGTCGGTTTGAATCCTGACTGCTCCACTTCCTATCCAACTCTCTGTTATGGTCTGGGAAAGCAGTAGAAGATGGCCCAAGCCCCTGGGCCCCAGCACCCCTGTGGGTAGACTCGGGGGAATCTCCTGGCTCCTAGCTTCAGATTGGCGCAGCTCCAGTCATTGCAGCCATCTGGGGAGTGAACCATCAGATGGAAGACCTCTCTCCTTGTCTCGCCCTCACACTGTAAATCTACCTCTCAAATAAAAGAAATATTTTTTAAAAATAAATAAAAATTTTAAAAAACATATAACAAAAGAAAAATAGAATATTCTGGTACCCATGTAACTGGATCTCTCTGCCTGCCCTCTAGGAACATGGCTGCCCATGTATCTTTCCACATGTCTTAGGGCATTGTGGGAAACTGCAAACGCTAGAATGTAAGGGACAGTTACAAACTCTCTGGAAAGTCATTACAAAGGAAACCAAGGGTGGGCATTTGGTGCAGTGGTTAAAATACCACTTGGGACACCTGCACCCCATATTGGAATACCTGGATTTGAGTCCTGACTCCAGCTTCCTGCTAACATGCACCCAAATACTTGAGTCACTGCCACCCACTATGGGAAACCAGCATTGAGTCCCAGCTATCCTTATGTCAAAAATTAAATACTCCAAAAATAAAAATAAAATTAAGGACTTTTATTTTCAAGAAAGAGAGAGGTGAGAGTACTCCCATTGGATGGTTCACTATCCAAATGCATACAACTGCCAGGGCTGAAGCTAGCATGAGTGACACAATGCAGGCCTCCCATATGGGTGTCAGGGACCCGACTGCAGTGTCATCACTGCCTCCCAGGGCATCAGTGGGAAATGAGATTAAGGAACCGGAGCCAGGAATTGAACTCTATTGTGGTACCTGCTGGGCGAACCTTAATCACTGGGTTCATGTGCACTTTCTGGAGAACGCTTTTCAGGTAAGAAAAAATGAAAAGCGGGGCCGGCACTGTGGCGTAGCGAGTAGCGCCAGTTCGAGTCCCAGCTGCTCCACTTCCAATCCAGCTCTCTGCTATGGCCTGGGATAGTAGAAGATGGCCCAAGTCCTTGGGCCCCTGCACGTGCGTGGGAGATCTGGAGGAAGCTCCTGGCTCCTGGCTTTGGATCAGCGCAGCTCCGGCCGTTGCAGCCAACTGGGGAGTGGACCAGCGGATGGAAGACTCTTTCTCTCTCTCTCTCTCTCTCTCTCTCTCTCTTTCTCTGCCTCTCCTTCTCTCTGTGTAACTCTGACTTTCAAGTAAATAAATAAATAAAAGAAATTGAAAAGTGAAAACACATGCAGTGTTTAAAACGTTCAAAACTCTCCAATTCAAGGCCTACTGAGAGCTGCAACTCCCAGGGGGCTCTGGGGCTGGGCCCTTTTCCACGCCCTGCTCACTCGGGAGACTCCATTTCCCATAAA